ACTAGGGGAAATTTATCCTAGAATCCCTTTCCTCCTAACAGATTTCCCGCAACCTGCTTTCTTTGCTCCAGTAGCCGCTTATGTTTGGCTCTGACTTCATACAAGCTTTTTAAGGGTTTATGCTTAAGTACGAAAATGTGAAAATATGCAAGTCCGAGGTTTAAAACCACTCTTTAAAACTTCTACCCGGCCTAGCAGGGGATTTATTCACAGTAAAAAGAAAGGTAAAAAACCCAAACCCCCGAAGTCATTCATTCTTGACAATAGGTGAATCTTTTTCTGCACTCCTGCCTTTCCAGTGGGGTTTGTCTACAGCACGATGACTCCCGGGGAATGCCAGGTCCAACTTAGAGATAACCTTAGGCACTCAGGGCATGGAGATTTCTGCAACAGACTCATGGTTTACTTTTGCCCAAGCTGGAAGGCCAAACGTTTTCTTCTGTAGTTGGAAGTGGGTGCAGGAAGAGGCATTTGATGTCAATAAAGGAGTCCTTTCCTTTTGCAGACATATCTCCAGAATGAAGTAACCCAGACTGCAGCTCCTCCAAAGGCCAGCACAGCATTTCTGCATCGCTGCCTCCAAAGTGCCTTGGCATCCCTTTCCAGGGAAGCTCTCAAGCCTAGCTGCATACTCTGGCACTGCTGTGCTTGTAAATGAATATAGCAAAAATACAGTTGCAGCAAAGCACGCTGGAGTGAGCCATGGGCTGGCTTCTAAGCAGCAATAGCCAGTCTAGCAACCACAGTCGTGCAGACAGGTTGAATTCACAAGCAGCCTGAAGATTTGCACTCGCCAGCGTAGCCAACTCAAGTGTATAAATCTCCGTAACAGCTTTGCATTCCCTGGCACGGGGTCTCTGCCAGGCTGCCCACGCCAGCTGTTGTGCAGTACTGTTCAGGGCTGGGATTACAAGGTTTGACTGGGTGCCCAAGCCTTAGTCATGTTTTTGCTGCACAGGCGTCAACAGCAGTAGCCATAACCTAGAACTCTAATTTAGGGTAACTGGAAAGGGCTATAAACTGCGATTTCCTAGGCATGGACTAGATAATGAAGAGAAAGCGAAAACAAAACTAAACCCATGTAACATGCTTTATGTCAGGCTCCTAAACCTGTTTGGGGAAATATCTCTTTGTTTTCTAGTTGATAACAGATCAGATGTTGAGCAGTTTTGACTCTGATAGCCTCTCCAGTCCCGTAAGAACAGCCACAAGTCTTAATAAAACCCTTCAAGCTTTACTGAAAGCATTCTGTTATTCTTCTACCCTTTTGAAATTTTCCCGCTAAACTTCTTTCCATATTCAGATATATTTGCCAAATGTCCTTACGAAGCAGTTGACTTAAATATCTCCTTTACTCAAATGGCACGGAAACGAATTTATAAAACAGGCTTTCAGACCTAGCATTGTCACACAGGCAGGAGCAGCTCTAAGAGGAGCCAGTGAACACAATTTGGTATTGCCAAAATAAAGACAGATAGTCATTTAATTTCATATAGGGAAGACAGGAGCAGAGAACAGCTGCTGGTTTTAGTCTCAATTACATTCAGATTATTTTGCACAGCTCCGATACCATACATGTACCTTAAAGTCAGTACAGTTTACACTCAGGATTTCCGTAAGTCCCCTTTACATGCCAGAATACCTTCAAGATCCCAAACAAGGAGGGCTATAGCTTGTTTGGAAGACATTTCCTAGCAGGTGAAGTAGCGTTTATGCACCACGAGTCATAAAGGCAGGGCAAGAAAGCCAGAGCGTGGAAGGCTGTTTTGTAACTTAGAATGGGGACATTAGCACTAACTTCATGCCAGTGTTGATGAAACAATTTAAGCTTTAATTAAAGGGTCGTGTGTATTTTCTGCAGCCACTGACAGGGACGTGCCCTGCAGCGCTTCGGAGCTGCTGGTGATGGGTGGGAGTTACACATGGTGCATGTTCCACGCTAACTGACTTAAATGCTTCCTTAACGCCCACGACTATATGTAATTCCAATCACAACGTTTCACATTCATATTTTACGCATCTTCCAGCAGAGTATGTTTCTGCTGGCATTGCCACAGTTCCGAGGGCTGCCAGCAAACGCATCACAGTGCAAAGTGCCCTTTGATATTTATGCTATCAGTAAAAAACAAATATAGTCACTACATTTAAAAACATAGGTGTATTTCTGGTTTTTGCAAGGGTGTGTTGGTGGATCAGGCTGTCACTCTTGTATGAAGTGTCCCCACAGCTATTGGTGTAGGACTTCAGTGGGAGGGCAGGAGAAGGGAGTCCCAGCTGAGTTACTCATTGCACCTGCACTCCCAAGAGCAAAATACTCATTCTCTCTTCTTGTGTAGTTACAGTGCTCTGCTGTATGTTCTGTTCTACACAAAGCTGAAGTGACTCCAAGTCATCATCTTTGAAATGTTTTCCCTAGGTATTTTTATGTCTGCCATAGTATATAAGTTCTGCGTCTGTTTATGCTGGGTGAGGAGCAAAATTAAGGTGATTTGTGCAGCCAGCCTAAGCGTTTCCTGCATTACAAGTTCCAAGGGTGGAGATCAACATAACTTGAAATGGCCTAATTTTCAACTATGTATAACTGCTTCAGTAATATTTTACCTCATATTGTAAAAGAGAATTTATATTCATCTTTTTTTCAATGGAAAAAGACTCCACTTGGGTCTGGTTGAAATGCACTGTGGCATGTGATACAAAACAAATTTACATTTTATCTTTAGTTTAACATTATTTCAAAAATTTGTAATATACAATAGGAATCAGCAGTTCTGAAACTGATTTTTTTTCTAAATTTAAGCACTTTCACATTATTTAATTCTGATGTCCTGTGGATGGGACTTCCTGAGTCACTGAACTGCAATATTCATCTATCTTGCTTGACTTTGTGCAGATAACAGTTCCTCAGGGAAAAGACCAGATGATAAAAATGTGAATGGCATAACTGTGCCAAAGAGAGATCAGCTTGGAGGTGGTCGTCCAGTCCCAGAAACAGGTAAGACTGACCATGTGAATTGATTTTGATTTATGTTAGTTTTTCAGTCAGGTGCTATAGATCCAGAGACTATAGTCAAGACTTGAATAATGTATTTCCATATTCTGAACTGTTCCTAACATGTATGATCATACAGTTTCATTTCGCAGCATGAGTTGCTCCAAATATTAGCACCTAACTGATAGACTAGCTCTATTTAAAAAAAAAAAAAAAAAAAGTTTTTTCTACCGATTTCTCACTATATTAAATAAAGCGTAATTTCTCTTAACCTCGTTGTAGGTGCTGTGTTACCCTTAGCCTTAGGCTTGGCCATCACTGCTTTACTGCTGCTTATGGTTGCTTGCAGACTGCGTTTAGTGAGACAGAAGCTTAAAAAAGCTCGACCCATTACATCCGAAGAGTCCGATTACCTCATCAATGGGATGTATCTCTAAAAATGGGATTTAGGTCAGTTGTTTTCTCCCCTTTCTCCTGTGTCCATGAACCTCTGCCTCTATAAAAGGACCAAAATCTTTAGTTAAGTTTCAAATGTAGAAGAAGCCTACGAGATGAAGAACATGTTCTTCCCCTTTGGTGAGAAAATAAAATAGTGGATAGAAGCCCGTGCTCAGAAAATAAGTGTTCAAGCTCCAGTGAGTAGCTCTGGTTGCCTCTTGTGCAGAAGACACTGCAAGGTGGGGACACCCCAAACTGGATGCAAGGTGCCCTTGCTCTCCCTGCAGCAGTCGGGGTCCTGGCCATGACAGAGCGTGCCCTGGGGCCATGGCACCAGAGCAGCCAAGGCCCAGCAGCCCCAGCCGAGGCATAGAGGGAAGCCTGTGCCACCCTGCTCTTCTTGGCACTGCCACCGCTGCGCTCCGCTCTGGGGACCGAGACGCTCCAGACCAACATGTTACTTCACTGCCCAGCAGAGACTGATTTGTGTACTTTCCACCTGATGCACTGGGAGTATTTTCATTACAGAATTTGTCTTGCTTTGTTAATTAAAAGCAATCGCTATCCAAGCACCAGCTTTTGTAACGAAATTTGGGATTTAAGGAACAAAGCATCTTTTTTTCATTCGTAGTTTAAACCTCTGTGCAGCTAACAGAGTCATGCTTACTAAATGAAAAAATACAAGTCCTTCAGTGGATGAGTTTGGACTTACCAGTGCTCGACAGCAGTTGTGTGATCCCAGAGCTGAGTCTCTGTGAGAGAGCAGCACGCAGTGGCTTTTACTTGAGACTCGAGTGTAGAACTCCTGCCGGTTATCCCGTAGCTCCCTGCACAGCTTAAAAGCTTCGGCGACCTGCCCTCACCCCAGCGAAATTCTCATAGAATTAGAGCAAGTAATTGATACGTGTGAGTGAACTTCAGATGTGTTAACTGTAAAATGTGTACAGTACACGTTATATATACATATATATATACACACACCGTGCTGTCTATCTTGTTTGACTGTCCAAGGATGTCATGTCCATCATAGGTCCCAATAAAAACAGAGGCAAATGAGGCATGCATCTTTTTGTATGTCGTCTTTTGTACTTCAGTAACTTCCAAGTCAGCGAGAATATTGCCATGGTATACAAATAGTTCTTCAAGTTGCTCGGTCTTGATTACATTATGTAAAATAGCTCTAATAAACCTATTTTATTCTTACGTTTCTTGCATTGCCTTTATTTTCAGCTACCAGCTAGGTTTTGTGCTACAAGACCATAGCATTACAGCAGACAGAAGTGCATTTCTCCTCCCTGTGAAACAGTCTTAAAAGAAGCTGGAACATGTAGGGTGAGGGGAGTTGTTGAAATGTTTTGTTGTAGGAAGGCTGAGAAGAGCAGGGCGTCTCCCTCCATGACCCGTCTCTCGAGCAGTACTTGAGCCGAGCAGGACAGTAGTTGCCGAGCGGCTGTGCCAGCCTCTCAGGGAATCCAGTTGCCAGTGCTGCTTGCTCAGAACCCTGCTGGCATGTTAGGCAAACTCTGGTTGCTTGCACTTCAGCGTTGCACTGGGTCCAGGAGACCTTCTGTCAATACTGCCCATTTGTAACTTGGGAGCATGGCCCACAGCAGGCATGGCAAATAGCACAAGACCCAAAAGACCACGTTTTAAATACAGCACTGCCCAGCGTGTTGGGGTATTATTGTCCATCATTGAAGAATTGTCACTTTGCTTTGTTTGGGGTTTTAATTCAGTATCTAATTCTCCTTCACTATCTTACCATAGCAGCAAGAAAAGTAGTCTTTTCTCACTGTGCCTGTAGCACTCCTGTTACCGAAACCCCTTACTCCAGCATGCAGCCAGCAGAACAAGAGGTCTGGTTTTGTTCTTCTGGGCAGGACAACAGCGAGATCCCACATGGAGCAGGAGCCAGCCAGTACAGCTGTGGTTGGAGAGGCCGCTCGGCTTTCCAGTCGCTTTACCCAACAGCACGTTTTGCTGCTGCGCTGCTGCAAGTGGAGTCAACCTTCATGGATTTCGCGTGTGACAGCCAAGAAGAAACACTTCCAAGCAGCAGCAAGCCTAGCACCGGAGCCTAGCTATCGCTGTGTGTTACAGTTGCCACAGGCTGCCCAGGAAATCCTCTTTCTAGGAGGGGAGATGGTGACAGCTGCTGCTGTGCAGACCACCAGCTAAAAGCCTGTTACTTCTCAAGTAATTGCAAACTTCACAGTTGGACTGAAATAAAAGAAAATTTGCACCTTTCCAGAAAGCCTGGGCATCATCAGCTAGATGAAGAGCAAGACAAAGTTAGCAAAACAACAGATTGGCTTGGCAGCTCCTGCAATTAATACATACAGGTCTCGCTAATACGTGTTTTCATTTAATAGCTTCAATGCTATTTGCTTTTAAATAAGTGATCCTGAACTCCTGAGCCAGAGCACCTACCTCTAAGCAGAAAAAGCTGTCGCAGGACACCCTTGCCAACATGCTGGGGGTGCTTCTCCTTCCTCCCCAGGCTGGTCCCAGCTGTTGCCTCCTGCTGACACCACTTCTGTCGCCCCTTCCCAGCCGCTCCCAAGGTTGGGGCCCTCTCTCTCATCTCAAAGGAGCACTCAGAGCAGGCCGTGCTTCTACTCCATCTTCACGGTTGCTTTGCTAACTGCTTTCATGGTTTCCCATGCAAGCTTCAGGAGCTAGGGCATTTTATACAGTGTTCATACTGCAGCACAAGTCTGATATTCTGTGTGAAAATCATCACCAGTTGAGGTCTCTCAGATCTGTTTTTCCTGTCATAAACCATGACATCTGTCTATCCATACATCTGGGAATATGCTTGGTCCACTTATTTTTACTACCAGCATGCTTTACATAGATAAGCAGAGAATATTGATTGCTTTGATAGTATATACCTGTGGATATTACTCCTCTGTGTATCAGGAGAGGTCATTACAATTTGTTTTGTCAGTGTATTTTAATGTTGATCAAAAGAGTATTTGGGTTAGGTCACTTTTTATATTTTCAATTGCTTTGCCCTTCAGACCAGGTTACATACCCTTAAGGGTACAAATTATTTCAAAGTAACAAGCAATACTTACCTGAGTTTTATTCATAATTAGAAGTCAGGTGTTGTTTTTTTTTTTGTAATGTGGGTCGCTTGCTGCCCACTTTTGTAGGAGGATCCTAGCCTGAACATCCCCACTGTAGTCTTTTCCATAGCACTGCAGGATTATAGCAAGGGCAGTTCCAAAAGCACATTTGCAAAACAAAAAGGCTGAAATAGGTCAGTGCGATGCTCCATTTGCTTTTTAAACCCTAGATAAAGCATAAGAGTTTCAATCCCAAACTGCACAGAGCGAGTCAGCGGCACGAACCAATAGCAACACAAACACGCCACCCCCGAAACAAAGAGAGCGCCTTTCTAGTAAGCCCCAACAGAATTCACAGTCATGCATCACTGAGGTCTACGCTTGCTGTTTTCACAGGCATCAGGAATTGGGATTTTTCAGTTTCTAATGGCAAAAGCTAAAAGAGCAAAAGCAAAAGGAAAAGCTAGAAAGGATTCAGAGAGGGCTGATGGGCGTAAAGACCAGACAGAGGCAACAAACACAGAGTGATGAGTACGAAAGAAAAGAGCCCATGAAACAATTGGCTTGACCTGAGTAGGAAAAGGAAAACATGCTGTAAACAGGAAAGAAAAAAAAAAAAGATAGAAAAATACCTTTGCTATATGTTTTATAGTTACTTAAGTCAGAAAGTGATAAGGCCACAAATACATTTGTAATATACAGAAACACTTGCTGAACACTGCGCTCTGCACTGGAGCTCTGAAACACGAAAGAATGTCTAGAAGGACTGAATCAGCACAAAAACCCAATTCAGGAACAAGTTTTTAAAGATACCTGCTAGAATTTTAATTTTTGCATGTGTAAGGCTCCTGGCTGACAGTTCTAAGCCACTCCTAAATCAATGAGAAGCACATTTGGAGCAGGCTGACCAACAGACAAGGCACAAAGGTTCAGTGCCGGGAAGGGTTGAAGAGTCACAGCTTGCAAGGATGTCCTCAGCTGTTCGGCCAACAGAAACGTTTAATCTCATTTTAAAGAGAGCAGAACAAGAATTTTAACATAGTTCTTCACAACTACCGTTGTCCCAAATTATGGGTTCTTTCATTTGGTGTGCAAAAGTCAATCCTCACACAGAGTCGAGATACTTGTTTTATTCCAGTTCTGGGCAGAAAAAGGGTACGAAGTGATTATTCACAAAGCCAATGCTCTTTTTTAACAGTACAGAGAATATTTATACTCTTAAAGTTGTGCAATTAATACATTATTCATACTTTAGTCAGTGTCCTTGATACCAATTGGCCTACTAATGCTACACTCCCATTTAAAGGGACAGTACACAAATATTTTACCACGCATCCTCGGAGGGGGGTGGTCCCGTTTGGGTAGGGGGCTTTTTCTCCCCTAGAAGTGTGGTTTTACCATGCTAATGAGTAAAAATTCAGTGTAAATTCAGTCTTGGCTAACTTATCTCGGTATTTCTTGGTTTGATGGATTTATAGTGCCATCCTGTCTCCTTCCTCAGGGTTATCATCCAGAGTTTCAGTAATCCCTTCTGTTTTATCTCCCTTGTTTCTCCAAAACTACCAGCTCCTAATGCGCAAAAGAGACTCATTAAAGGTACCTCAATTCAAAACAAATGACTGAACAACAGAGATACAGAGGGAGCAGGAAACTTGAATGAGTGCAGGACTGGAAAGGGCTAGAAAGCAGGCAGCACAGTGCAAAGTAGGGACTATGGGGAAAGCATCCCTGAAGGCTCATTCCATGCATGAGAGAACTTTCCTGAGGCTGCCTCTATATCCAGAGGGGATGAGCTTCTCCAGAACCCTGATCAGAGCATTAGCCTAGGCAGATGCTCTCAATCACCCATTTCCCTACCCAAAGGCCTTTGAGAGCATCCTGCTAGTACATAAGGCACCTGAAATAAAAGTTACTGATTAACCTCGGATGCCCCTTCTCCATAACAGCAAAAAAGTGATTTGGCAGAACATGGTAAACAAGATACTTAATTTGTTCATTATAAAGACATGTAAGATGCAAACATATGCTGAAACATGGCTGAAAAAAGGACTTCAGCTTCTCAGTAGCATCAGAGTATGTTTTTGAGAGTATCTTATCAGGTCAGTTCCTCAGAAGTATACAATGAAAATGGCTGGACTACAAAGAAACATGAAAATATCAAAGTGAGATCTGAGAAACTCTGTCAACAGTCTTTATGAAAATAGTCTGTTGTTGCTAAAACAGAGTTTTGCTAAAAAGGCACAGGATTAAGTCTTTCAAATTTTCCAGTTTGGTGTGATGAGACACAAAGTGAGTTCTTTACACTTCTCCTTCCTGAAGCTTTCAGGCAGTTTTCAACAGGCACCTAGATCTCCTCCATACATATTTCAGCAATAACTATGTCCATTCGATTCATTATTTAAAGCAATACAATTTTACTTCCTGAGCACATTCTGCTGAGCATCTATCTCGTTAACACCCTGCCAAGAGCACAAAAGAACAGTAACAGCCTTTCATAGGAAAACTCCTAATGCATCAGCTGCGTTATGTATCTGTGCTGTGTATAAAACTACCACCCAGAAGAAAAAGCAGCCCTGTATGTCAGGGATGAAATGTGGGAGGGAAACAGGTCAGGCAGAGGAAAGTTTACAGCATCTCTGCCTGCATAAGGGCAAGTTTTAGTCCAGGCTGATTTCCTCAGACCTGGCTGAGGCATGGAAACCCAAACCTTGCCCTGAGCACACAAGTGCTTATCGATTACGGTAAAGGCAAAAGGTTTGATGATACCTGAAGAGCATCTGTGCACTGCCCATAACTGGTCTTCAACCCTTCACAATTATATGGACAGAAACTCAAATAGAGCCAACAAAGACGAACTGTATGAACCCACAAAACTTAAACCTCATGCTTGAATCCATCTACTGTACAGCACAGCATTTAAACTCTGATTTATACTTCTGATGTGTGAAGTCTGGGCGTCCTGAAATGCAAAAGACCAATTTCAGACCTCACCATCTCCTGCATCCCTTGGCACATGTGCTTCCCCTCTGTGTTTCTGGTGGTTGTTGTTTTGTTCTGCACGATGTGCTTGCAGCACCTCATCATGCCTTTTTTCTGAGCCAGGACCACTGCCCATTCACTTCAGCAGAATGACTCTTCCACATCATTTGAGACAAAGGAACAAGGGTTCTATAAAGGTAATTAGTATTATTGATCCTTCTAACTGCATTGTAATATGTTCAAAGTCAGCTAAATGAAGCCAGAGATACAAATCATGACCATTGCATCATATCAAAATCAAGAAGGAATTGTAATCACATCCTCTTTCTGTCAACTGCATTTAAATCAAAACAAGTAAAAGAAAGCAAACACTGCTGTTGTAAGCACGGGTTAACACCCTCCCTCCTGGCAGGAATGACAGTATTCGATCAGCGTTTTCCTCTCAGCATTTTAGTTTACCTGTTTGTGCTGATGGTTAATTCCACAGTCCCTCCACACTGGAAAACCCTGGAGCTTGTCATCCTGTCACAAAAACACTGCACATGCAGAGAAAACTGCTGCCAGCTGGACGCTCCAGAGCCTACCACACAGAGCCCCCTGCTCCAGGCATTATTGCACATTTCAAACTCGCTGACTACGAAACATTTCGGGAATCGTCCAGGTGGCCTCAGCCAGCGGTGCCAGGCACATCCTCTGCACACTGGTTTCCCTTCAAAAAAACCAATCCAAGTAACAGTCTCTATGCCCTCATGTCAACTGGCTAGTTTGAAAGAAATAGTACCCACTATTTCCCGCTACGTAAAGAGAAAGCATCCATACAGCACACCAACCTGCTCTTCTCTGTGCAGCACCCATAACTGTTTATGGGTTTCCAAGATACAGCTATGGGCTCCTGCTTCCTCTGCTTATATTCTGGAGGTCTTCTACTGCCTGATCCCTGGAAACAACCAGACAAGTGACTGTCACTGGTTCAGCCCATCTCTTCTCCCAGGTTGTTCTTGCTTAGAGGCGAACGGAACAATCCAGTGAAACATCACTGCACTTATTGTAAAAAGATAAATGTTAACCCTTGCAAGTGGCAGATCTCACACTCCGTGCTAGCTGGATTCAACCACAGACAGAATTCATACACCGCGCACAGCCTGTTCCCCAAAACACACAGACATAAACTAAAAGAAATACCTAACAGACAAGTAAAACTCCACTTACATTCTGTATGGTTGCTACCAGGCTTGGGAACTGCTGCAATACATTAATTAACTGAAGAGGAACACATCGTTCTGGTGATTTAGTAAACCAGTATTTTCATATCTGCTTGCTTTCTTTCTGGGCATGTGAAGTCTTGTCAAGGTTTAAAAAAACACAAACAACAAAAGCAAAACACAAACAAAACCCACAACAAACCAAAAAAAACCACCCAGACACCTAGATACAGCTTCCTCTCAATTTGTTTTATTTGGCAAAGTAGCAATTCAGACAGTTCACACAGCATTTATTCAAGCTCTTCAAATGTTCTGCATTTCAACTTGTCCTCTTCTCCAAGAAGTTTTTACTTCAGAACCATTGCTCCATCACGGAGGGGTTTTAATTCTCCAGTTCCTAAATGCCACTCCTGGATACTCCTTTCTGCCCAAGTACCTTGACTATCACCAACCCCTTCAGTGGAATGGGAGCACTAATCCCTACAGCCTTGGTCCCTGAAGTCTTACACCTCCTGAAGTGGTTCTCCTCAAAAAAAGTTGTCACCGCGTCTCAGCTTTATCACCTCTTCCAGGTTAGGCTAGCTTATTACACTGTGTCCAGAGACAAGAATTTGGATACAGTTGAGCTCGTATCATTCACTGAACTGAACAAATTAGTGAGGAGATGTAAATAAAGCTGAACTGAAATTGAACGATACAGTGACCAAAAGGCTGAACATTAGCATGCATCATTTAAGGTATTTCACTTCAACACCAAGAACTAGATTCACAGTTGCTTGTGGGTTAGTATGAATTTGTCAAGACGCAAGTGGGTTTTTCTGAATTGTATTTTCTAGAATACACGCTATACTAATTCCTTTGTAAGAGTAATCTTTGTGTATGTGCTCCCAGGCTGCAGTCAGATCAGGAGGTGGTACATGAATTCATTCAGGTGTTTGGAAGTGAAGTGATATGTATCTTTTACACAGCAAAAGGATGGGGCTGACCTTCAAAAGGAAGGTTATTTATAACATTCCTCTTTCATATGCATAGGCCCTTGAATTTTAACCTTTACGCTTTCAGGGATTAATCCTATCAGAAAATTATTGCTGTTCCACCACAAAGTCAAATATATTTTTGCAGCAATCACTATGGGTTGTTTTTATACAAATTATTTTATTCTATAATCCTTTTTATCATAAAAAAAATAAAAAAATTATGATAACATGCTGCTTAATTCCTGGTTGCTCAAATCTGAGCAAGACGACTCAAAACACACTTCCCTCCTTACCCAAAGCAGCTCAACTTCCTGTACTACTTTGCAATTCGCTGTTGACATTTTACAGTTCCAAAACAGAAAACCTGGGGCAGAAAAAAATGTTTATAGCCTTCCAACTACTCTTCTATATGAAAACTGAAGAATAGCATCCCTATCTGTACTTAGAAGTCCAGGATTTGTTACTCCTTCTGCATGTATCATGTTTTCCTTGTATAGTAATTAAGAAATCACTTTCTAAAAAGCCAGATTTTCTCCTGAGTGTCCGCAGTTAGAAAAATGAGAATGTTAATGCAGCAAATGGCTTTGCCAAAAGCAACTTTCTTTCAAAACCAAACTGGATTTTTTTATTTTTAAATAAAGAATCTAGCAATCCATAATCTCAGTAGTCTGCTACATACTGTTCCTAATCTTCCACATAAGCACACAACTCCTTTTGCTTTTAACTTTATTTGGCAAAGCAGCATTGCATAAACTGTCCAGTGACTGGGACACAGCTTACATCGTATCTCTGGAGTTAAATCCATGTATATCACATCAGTAGTGAGCTACAAACCAAAACGGAATTTCAATACTTCATTAATTAATTTTAGAAGGAAAGGGAAAACCATGTCTGTTACAAACAACTTGAACAGCCATGTTTGATAAGAGCGGCCACCCACCTCTGATGTCTTGAAGTTTAATATATACAAATGCCTGGTTTTAAGGTAATAAAGCAGCTGATTGTATCTACTACATGCTAGTCTATGACACCATGTCAAAAGCTTAAAAAGGAAGTTCATCTCCTTTTAGTAGCATCTAGCAGACATTGGAACACAGAAAACCTGGTATTACCTACGTAGTGTCGTAAGGTGCACAGAAGCAGTTTTACCAAGGGACACAGGAGCCGAGAGAAGTGAGTGTTCAAGTACCCCCATCAAAATTAGAGTTCACAAACTATAGGTCTTAATCTGCAGTTATGCAGAAATTCACTTTGAACAGATGAAAGTAAAATAAAGGCATGTTAAATAAAACAGTGCCCGCATAAAACTTTCCACCATTTCTTTATCAGATTTGCCTTGAGGATCTAAAAAAATAAAACAAACACCACGCTTTTCCATGCTGATAACAACAGTATAACGAAGTCCAAAACAAGCTGCAATGCTGTTGATTTTCAAAAAGCTTTTAGAACTGGAGATGAGCAGTCCACTGTAACACTATGTTTGGGTCAAGATGATGTAGCTTTTACAATTCATCCCTGTAGAAAGAAAACACATGTAGTTATGTTTCTCTTCCCCTTGGAAATCATGTTTGAAAAATTTTGATACTGAATCAGGTTACATTTAAGTGCTCAAGCGCATCAGCAAAATTTCAGAAATCTCTTCAAGCATTTAAGAAAAAAAACCCAAAACAAACCAAAGAAAAGGCAACAGCAATCTCATATCATCTCATACTATTGCGTGATGTATTGTGAAATATGGGTCTCTCTATTCTATGTTTAACAGATCATATGCTGTAATGAACATACCCTGCACCACACAGCTACCCGTCATCCAAACTGTTGGCTACATGCTGGCAAGAAACTGAGCCAACTTACTAGACAGGGTATTGGCAAAAATCACTCTGTAGGTGCCAAAAAAGCAAATTTAGCTTCAGCTGCAGTTTCTCAAGAAAGCTAGGAACATAATCTCACATCAATGTCACGCAGTTTGTACCACCCATTTTATTTATCTCACAGAGCAGCTGGATTAGCTGCTAAAGGAACTATGCTAAATGAGGACTAGGTTACGGATGGGTGAGGGCAGGGTGGGGTGTGCGCGTGTGTTAAAAGGAGATTCAGGTAGGAGAAAGGATGCATCAAGAACTCTCTCTAAACCACTACAAGAAATCTGGAAAATGCAGCCTTTTGCTCCTGCAGGACACTTAAAACACATTAAAGCAGGAAACCCATAGAACCCATATTCCAACAGTGAAATTATCATATATTAGTGAATTGTTTAAATATTTATAAAGAGTTAACTTTAAAGAAAAACATCCACCAAATCTGAGCGGTGTGCACTGTGCCACTATGAACGTTGGAAAATTCAAACCAAAGTGTTTGTTGTTTCTGCCCCACCCCCGGCACAAGCGATCTATAAACTCACGAGTTTGCTGCAATTTTTCTTTTAGTAGGTGCATCACCCTCATTAGCCAAAGCAAAAACTATCTGAATTAAGAGAAACTTCACTAATGTGATTGCTGGCTCAATACTCAACTGTATGTCCAGCTATCATGCAAACTAACCCACAAAAATATAGTGCTACACGCACACAAGCAAAAGCTTTAAAGTTACAAAGGCATTATCCAAAGGCATGGAATGACAGCATGCAAAACATTTTAAAAGCAACTGAAAAGGCTGCTGCAACTAGTACTTAAACGACTAGTTTTCTAGCTAATGCAGCTGGGATGCAAATCTTGTGATTTCTCAGTGATAAATATTTGCATTCTTTGCACTTTGCACTGCCTTCTAATAGTGAAGTACTAATCATACAGCTTCAGAGCGTGGCAATAATTATAGAAAGCGGAAAAAAAGTCGAAGGGAGAAGAACACATCTTGGCAGGAGTGAAGAAAAATTTGGTTATAGCCAAAGGTTTGGAAGTTCTTCCTATTTGCCTATTTCACAGAAATCTGCTTATTTTAAACAGATAAAAATAAATTAGCATCTGATACTCAGTTTAAAATGCAGAGCTGGTGAATTTAGAGTAAGTACTTCATTCATCCTTTATGCTTCCAGGAGTTGCACCATAAGTTAATATTTACAACTTCAAAAAGCATATGTAAGTCATGACTACTGCTATTGCTGGTTTGGTCTCACATGCCTAATTGCTGATGTGATTTTCATCTTGATTCCTACCCTGTACTATCATAGGTTTGTAAAAGCCTGGCCTTTTACTGTGACAAATAATTCTTAATCCTTTAAACCCAAGCTAGATCCTCAGGAAATTGTAAGCCTACGAAAAATTCTGCATTTACTCTGAACCTGTTAAACACAGTAATTTTATGCAGCCACAGACATTGGCAAGGGTTTGGCATTATGTTGCTGAAGCACTTAACGTATTTGAAATGTGTTTTTTTCTTTCACAAAATGGTATTTGTACTTAGAATTCAAATAAGTGATACTAACATGTCGAGATTTTAACTGTTGGTATTTTGCATTGCTTTATGCTATTCCTGACCAAGTAATAACGTTTCTGTAAGTTAAGTGTATCCTAGATGCCACTTTCAAAAATAAAGATTTTAATATTCTGTTTATTAGAACATTTGCTGTATTAAGGGGACCAGCTTCCCTCCAGAGACTTTTCGCTTGCTCTTCACTACTCGTTCATCTAACACCACCACGACAGCCCAAAACAATCCATGATGTATGTGTTAGAATTACGCAGCATTTATTTTCTACTGTTATGAGAAGCTAAGCTTACATGTGCGCTGTTGGATTATATATATTAGAAAGTTACAGAAAAGTCTTAGATCATCAGGTAGGTAACACTTCTCAGCTTTCCACCTAATGCGAACAGCTCGCAGACTTAAATACACACTGCAAAACAGCTTCAGTTGATCTGAACTTCAGCTGTATGGATCAGAAGCTGCCAAGCTATGAGATCTACCAGGTTGCAATCACTGGTCAAAAAACAGGATACTTGCCTATCCTCCCAGCAGTAAAAGATCTATCCTGCTACAAAGCTTGACTCAAAAGACAACTGCTATTACCTTGTTAAAAATATCCCGTTGACCTCTAAGATCTACTAACTAATTTGTACTTTTCTCCCTTTTTCTCGCCATGACTATTTGCTGTGTTTCTTCCACAACTCACATAATTTCCATCCACCTTCATACATGCACTCCTTCCAATCTGCTTACTGGCTCTTGCTTAGTAAGCAATATATATATTTAGGTTTTAAGTCATCACAATAGTCCTTCTCAAGCCCTTGGAATTCTAGCAGGGGAATCGCTCATCTAGTATTGTCAATTGAGGCATCAAAGCAACTTTATAAGCTCGAGTTAAAGCAAATTTCAGAAGTCACTAGCTCAGAATTACTATTCTGAAAATAAATTTAAGAAAGCTTGAAAAATTTTGGCTTATGAGTACGGAAAACATATACAACAATATTCCACATTTCCCATTGGGAGCATCCAACAACAAACTAAGAAATATTCTCAGAAAAATCTAATAGGTTGCATTTCAGGTAAATGTCAGAGTTCATTATGAAAAATAAAATAAAATAAAATAAATCACAAAACTTATCCCTGTTTGAGATACAGGTAAGTCATGAAGTTTCGCAATCTGTTTCCACCTCTGGAGGAAGGCATTCACATTAAATATTTGAATTAAGTGTTGAGAAATTTATCTTAAATCTGTAACTCACTTTTGATCCACTTCAGTTTTCTTGTCACTAAGCAGCATTTGACTTTCCCTTTTCATTCATCTACAAAAAACACGCTGTCACTACTGACATTGTATTTCTAATTCATATTAGGCCACAGTGAATTTCAGCATCTACTCAGCGTTTCAGCAGCAAATTATTTATCCCTTCGTAATTTTAAAGGTAACTAGATGCAATATTTGGACTGGTAGCATTTTAATCTGGAAAGGTGCTGTTATAAATTATTTAGCATGATCAATCATTAAATTGAGAGAGTAGGCTGAAATTACAAAAAGGAATTTTCTCTGCAACCTATTATATAGAATCATAGAATAGTTAGGGTTGGAGGGGACCTCAAAGATCATCTAGTTCCAACCCCCCTGCCATGGGCAGGGACACCCTCTACTACACCAGGTTGCTCAAAGCCTCATCCAACCTGGCCTTGAACACCTTCAGTGATGGGGCATCCACAAATTCTCTGAGCAAGCGGTTCCAGTACCTCACCACTCTCAGAGTAAAGAATTTCTTCCTTATATTTAATCTAAATCTCCCCTCTTTCAGTTTAAAGCCATTGCCCCTTGTCCTATCACTACACGCCCTTGTAAAAAGTCCCTCTCCAGCTATATCAGTTATATCAGTTATATCAGTTATCAGGAAAAAATGATGTCTGATATCAGTTAAATCACATGCATTTTTGCATAATACAAATATTAAATTTAACCTAAAATATTTTATGCAGATTCTTTTTGCCAAAGTGAAATAAAACCTTTAACCATAATCATTAGTCTGCACAGTCTAAGGAATTCCAGACAAACAATCCTTGCTAATTTCAACTGAAATTAGACAACTAGCTCATCTGGGGCATTTCTAACATGAGTAAGAGCTTCTATGCAGAAGCATATTAAAATATTTCATAATAAACACATTTTACAAAAAGGTCCTTAATCATGTTGTACATACAAATTAAGTGAATACAGTAACAGCCCCAGTCCAGTCACTGCAGTTATTGGTCAGAAAGGTTAATTGTCATTATAATTTTGTATTTTATCAGCAAATACGAAATTTCTAATAATGCAATATTTTCAGTTAAAAAAAGTAATCTGTTAACTTTTTAAAACAGCTGCCTGTTTGAAAATAAAATTCAAGACTCCAGCTGAGACTCATTGCTAAGCATTCCTTATGTTGTTGTTCTCTTTAAGTTGTCTCTCCATGTAAGTAGTAAGTGAGCTCTCACAGAGAAGTAAAACCAGAGAGATCCTAATTTACACAAGAACAGCCAATAAGGTAGCCAATAAGCTGTGCTCTCAACTGTGTGGCACAAGAGGCACTCTTCCCTACTTATCAGTAAGAAAAAAAAAATTAATAATTGGAGGTTTTATCTGAATGGATAAACAACTTTACCAGCATAATCACATAAGCGGGCACCTACTGCTGGATCTCTGGTACACTGATACATTTCATTTTGTACCAGAGATAGAGTTCCTGTGTATATTCTACTTCCAAATGCCTCATGGAGTCACATTCGAGAAGATTTCCACTACTATTTGGAGCTTAAAATACTACTGCAGCTGAACCCAAACTAGAAAATTACAAAGTTTAATGAAATCCAACAATATTCACAAGTAAGGTTATTTATTTACAATGTTTCATACACCACAGCTCTTTATTACGACTTTAATGCTAGCGTAGATAACAAATGATGATTTATAATCAGGAGTTTCCTTAGCAGCAGCTGGCTGTTGGAGCTTTGGACTCACCAATAAAAAAAAACAACAAAAAAGACCAATGTGATCTCCTGAAGGTCAGCAGTGCACTGACAGTTACCCTTGAGAAGGGAATAGGAGTTTTCCTTTTACAAAAAGGATAATTAAACAAAAATCAAATACTACAAGAAGCGGACTTCTGAAATTTCCTTTAACAGAGATTTCCAAGTCTGAATCAAATTTAAGTGTACGTAGCAAGAAACAGCCTCTATGCCACTGTAGTGATCAAGGTAACCATTCAGTCTAAGCACTTACCTTTTCTGGTAACACCAATGCACATTCTTAACACTTAAATTAAAAAATAAATAAATAAACTCAAGAGGTATTTCAGAAAAGAACAAAAACTGGTAAGAAAACCTGGGGAAAAGAATGCCACAATACCCATGACTGAAGAAGACCTGAAGATCTATTACTTCTATCTATTACTTCTTCCTGAGATAGCAGAGAAAATGGAGCACAAAAGTGCACAGAAGAGATGCAAAGACCTTGGAATTCTAGTCCTTGATATGCTATACTCCCTTCACTGTCATTCTACAAACCCTTCAATAAATGCTATTTATAAGAATACATATTGCTGCTATGAAAAAACACAATTGCTACTATAATCAGATCAGGTGGAAACGCAGGGGGGAAAAAAAAAAAAATCTATAAAACCTCTCTGGAAAAAGGAACACATAAGAAGAATTTTTCTTTTTCTTTCTCTTTTCTAAAGTAAGCAGAGCATGGACTCCAAACTTGAATAAAGCCCACAACATTTGCCAGAGGAGGAAACTGACTACAAAGCAAGTTCCAAAGCCTTACAAGAGGCAGGAAACCCCTCGAGTACCACTCTGAGGAAAGA